TTATTGATAAAGATCAAATCAAAACAATTATTTTTAATTGAATTAAAAAAAAATGAGAATACCCATTTCAAACCCTCATACTCCAATCTAAAGGATTTTTTAAAAGAAATTTTCAAACCCTCATACTCCAATCTAAAGGCGTGGATTTTTTAAAAGAAATTTTCAAACCCTCATACTCCAATCTAAAGGCGTGGATTTTTTAAAAGAAATTTTCAAACCCTCATACTCCAATCTAAAGGCGTGGATTTTTTAAAAGAAATTTTCAAACCCTCATACTCCAATCTAAAGGCGTGGATTTTTTAAAAGAAATTTTCAAACCCTCATACTCCAATCTATACTCCAGGCGTGGATTTTTTAAAAGAAATTTTCAAACCCTCATACTCCAATCTAAAGGCGTGGATTTTTTAAAAGAAATTTTCAAACCCTCATACTCCAATCTAAAGGCGTGGATTTTTTAAAAGAAATTTTCAAACCCTCATACTCCAATCTAAAGGCGTGGATTTTTTAAAAGAAATTTTCAAACCCTCATACTCCAATCTAAAGGCGTGGATTTTTTAAAAGAAATTTTCAAACCCTCATACTCCAATCTAAAGGCGTGGATTTTTTAAAAGAAATTTTCAAACCCTCATACTCCAATCTAAAGGCGTGGATTTTTTAAAAGAAATTTTCAAACCCTCATACTCCAATCTAAAGGCGTGGATTTTTTAAAAGAAATTTTTTTCAAAAATCCACTCTATAGACTTGGATATTTAAAAAAAAAAAACTCGCGTGAATTCCTTTTCCCAATAATTAAAAAGCACTGTACTTCGTTAGCTATGTTCCAATTTATGTCGAAAAATAATTGCTATAAAATTTGATTATAGCTTGCATATGAATTCCTAAGAACTAGAATAAGTTTTAAATAAAGGTTTCAGATTTTTATACCCTACACAACTATGTTGTTTTTAATTAAAGTTTTTATTTGAAAATTTTATAGGAAATATTTGTTTGTATATTTCTTGCTTCGTTAGTACCAAAGGATGAGAAAACTAACAAATGTCAGAATTTGGCATTTACGGAATTTAATGGGAATGAAAAGAAGATAGCAAGTAAAATACCCTTTTAGAGATGCAAAAATTAAAGCATATATTAGGGGGATCAAATTTGATATATGGGGTTTTCTATATTTCTCTTTTTTTTACAAAATTAATAATTGTTGTAAATCGACACCCATACATCTAGAACGTGACTTGGGCAGTTTGTTTAATTCCTTGACAATTTACACAAAATACCAACTTGCATTTCGGATTCCATTGAAATTTCCATTTCCTTCACATTTTTCCTTCTTACGATGACAACAGAAGAAATATTTACATAGATTTTCTAGAAACCATAACTTTGATTTCAAACAATTTAACTTCTTAACGTCTCCTAAGTATTTCGTGGAAATTGAAAACTTTACGAGATTTCAACTAGCTCGTGTCAGACATAATCCATTGACACAGGAAAAAATTACAAGGCTAGACACATAAAGAGCAGAAAGGATTTATGTAAATTATACAGAAGAAATTTTAAACGGTATGAGGACAAGGAAAATGTGTAAGACTTTTTTAAATCGATTCTTAGAACATAAGAGAAGACCATTCTTGTGGAAAATATGGTGTTGCCCTTCTTTAAAAAAAATTATCATTATAGAGCTCAGTGTGGAGAGTAAGAAGAATTCTTCAAAAAATTTAGCCTATTAACGTTAGTATGAGTTTCAAAAAATCTTAAAACGCCATCTGTTCTTTTTTCTGCAAAACAATTTAATTCCTATGTTTTTATTTGAAGGATGTAGGCACTGTTGTATAACATTGCAGAGCTACTCAACAAACATTTAAGAGGATCTCAAACTTTTCCCTAGATTTCATATCACCGAACAACAGGAGAAATTTCACATCCTATTCAGTTTCACTTCAGTTATTGCATTTTTCCTGGCATCTGGATTTCCTTAACAAAACTCATCTGCAGCCGGATGTGGGTTAGGATTTACAACAGTTTGTACTATTATTGTTTGTTGCTTCTGTTGTTGTCTGTCGCAAGTCTAGCAAATGTCCATCAACTACAAAACAGGGCTAATACTGATGATACAGAAAATAGAACAACCAAGTGGATAATAAATACAAACAAGAGGAATAGAAAAAAACAACAACTAGCCAATACCGGTAATAATGGAATCCACTATGCATTTCCTCTCTACACCCTATGTGTCGTAGATAATATTAATATCTAAAATACAAATTTCCAACACGTTTACATCCGGTTTCTCTAAATCTCATTTGTGGTTGTATGGATTTAATGACTGCCTATCTGTCTCTATGTCTGTGTGTGTCCGTCTGCCTGCTGTTGTTGTCTGGTACACAGACAGCATGAGATGGGATAAAACCACTTGGTTCATTTGTTATTGAACTGTTTTGAGAAATAGAATTAGTTACGAAGATGGATGTTTTGTAATTATATTACACAACATATGTATGTACGTGTGTGTGAGAAAGATAAGATAGAAAAAACACTACGTGAAGTGGTGTCACAAAAATATGTTGGATAGTTGTTGTTGTTTTATTTATAATGAATTACAGTAGTGAGGAAAAAAATTGGATGAGGGTCTCTATACAGCCCAATTGGTCCTGTATAAAGACCTTTGGTCTCTATACAGCCCAATTGGTCCTGTATAAAGACCTTTGGTCTCTATACAGCCCAATTGGTCCTGTATAAAGACCTTTGGTCTCTATACAGCCCAATTGGTCAATATAAAGACCTTTGGTCTCTATACAGCCCAATTGGTCAATATAAAGACCTTTGGTCTCTATACAGCCCAATTGGTCAATATAAAGACCTTTGGTCTCTATACAGCCCAATTGGTCCTGTATAAAGATCTAGACCAATTGGTGTGATCTTACGATATGTCCTCTATATATTTATACTCTTCACCACACAGTGGTACAAGGTATTATGTCTTTGTGCATATGTTTGTAACAGGCAAAAGGAAACGACATAGACACATGGTTCCTTTTAAGAATATGCATAGAATCACTTTCTAAGTCGATTTATGCATGTCCGTCCGTCCGTCTGTCTGTCCATGTTAAATTGTAAACAAAGTACAGGTCGCATTTATGATTCAAATTGGATGAAATTTAGCATAGGTCACTTATTCGGCCCAGGGACAAACCCAATTGAAATTGGGAAAAATCGGTTCAGATTTAGATATAGCTCCCATATATATATTTAACTGATTTAATGTAACCGGTCCCCATATATATCTTTCGATTTGCACGAAATTTGGTACAGCCTAATCGTTTAGGTCTAGAATGATGTCTGCCAAGTTTCGTGAAAATCAGTCCAGATTTAGATATAGCTCCCATATGTAGTTTCGTCCGATTTCATGTAAATGGTGCCCCAAAGTCTTTATATATCTTTCGATTTCGATTTGAATTTGGCATAACGTATTGAATTGAGCTTAGAGTGATTTCTGCCAAGTTTCGAGAAACTCGGTCCAGATTTAGATATAGCTCCCATATATAGTTTCGTCCGATTTCATGTAAATGGTGCCCCAAAGTCCCTATATATCTTTCGATTTGCACGAAATTTGGCATAACGTACTGAATTGAGCCTAGAATGATGTCTGCCATGTTTCGTGAAAATCAGTCCAGGTTTAGATATAGCTCCCATATATAGTTTCGTCCGATTTCATGTAAATGGTGCCCAAAGTCTTTATATATCTTTGGATTTGCACGAAATTTGGCAAAACATATTGTATTAAGCCTAGAGCGATGTCTGCCAAGTTTGGAGAAAATCGGTCCAGATTTAGATATAGCTCCCATATGGTAACCTAAAGTCCCTATATATCTTTCGATTTGCACGAAATTTGGCATAACGTACTGAATTGAGCCTAAAATGATGTCTGCCAAGTTTTGAGAAAATCAGTTCAGATTTAGATATACCTCCCATATATAGTGTCGTCCGATTTCATGTAAACGGTGCCCCAAAGTCCCTATATATCCATCGATTTGCAGGAAATTTGGCATATCGTTCTGAATTAAGCCTAGAGTGATGTCTGCCAAGTTTCGAGAAAATCGGTCCTGATTTAGATATAGCTCCCATATATAGTTTCGTCCGATTTCATATAAATGGCGCACCAAAGTCCCTATATATCCTTCGATTTGCACGAAATTTGGCATAACGTACTGAAGTGAGCTTAGAGTGATGTCTGCCTTGTTTCCTGAAAATCGGTCCAGATTTAGATATAGCTCCCTTTTATTATTGATTTTAAGTAGTTGATTCACCAAGGAACCAATAGGCCTAAACTGTGACAAGTTTGTTTGAAATCGCTTAATATTTGGATATAGCTTCCACATATATTTTCGCCCGATTTCAAGTAAATTGGGCATCAAACTCCTCATGTTAGTCAGATTGACATCAAATTTTGCACAGCTTAAAAAATTGAGCATAGAATTACGTAGTTGGGTTTTCTAGAAGTACAGACATAGCCCAACGGATGACTTATTTATATTTGTTTGAAGTCGATTTACATACTTTATGGATAGATCTAGGTAGATTCACATTTAGATTAGATTCATAATTTATTTTATCCAATTTCTTGTTAATAGTCCTGTTTAATATACCCGTAGTGGTGAAGGGTATCATATAGTCGGCCCCGTCCGACTTTACTACTTTCCTTACTGGTTTTTTATTCATTTTCTTCTTTTCGTGCCACTGTTCCATAGAGAATTTTATCCTGCACTACCACACCCGCTCCTTGTTAAATTCACATATTTAATCGACTTGTTGCATGTTGGGTTTTGTTGATTTGGTGTCCCCATTGAACACATGGCATGGCGACTTGTGTGACGCCAAATGCATGGTGGGTGTGTTTGAAGTTGGATCAATGGGGTGTGAATTGCTCGTTAGCTAAGTTTCATTTGCCAATAAGTTCTACGACTGTTGCACATGATTACGCTTGGCACTTCATATGGTCGACGACGATGTCTGAGGAAGAATGGTCCGCATTTGTGCCCAGTGGGGAGTCGAAGACCTCGTTGTGGTTGTGTGTAAATTTTATGAGATTTTTGGTAAGTCAACTTGTAGTGGTAACGGACTAGCATTATGGTTGTGGTGGTGGGGGTGTGGTGAAAACGTATATCAGCGTTAGAAGTTGAAATGTGTGTGTGTGTGTGGTGTTTAGCCTGTTGCTTTTGCTGAATGGATATTCATGCTGACGTTAGCTAATGTTTGTTTAATGCCTGCGTAAAAGTTATTTATTGTGACTTGGTGCCACATAAAACATAATTACGTTGAATCAACATCCGTACAGCTGCCACTTGGCATTGCGTTGTTGTTTTTGTTGTTTTTTTTTCGTTGTTATTGCTGTTCTCTTGATTGGGTAATAAACCTTTTATCTCTTTATTAATATTTGAATGGCGGCAATGGTACTTCAGATGATGTCGATAATATTTATAAGGTCATAAAATTATGGAAATGCATAGAAATTGACATTTCTGGAATTAAATTCTGTTTTTTCTTGGTTTGTGACCTTTACACACACATTTTTTACGATATCTCATTAATTTTATTTCCTCTATTTTCTACTTATTATTACAGAGACAGATTTTAAGGAACGTCTTATATCGGCTGTCAAAAAAGAAGTCAAACAGCTAATGGAAGAGGCGGTTACAAAGAAATATGTTCACGAAGAAAGTACAACAGTTACACAGCTGTGTGCCGCCGTTGAAGCATGTTTGAGTCAGGGATTGAGACGTCGAGCTTTGGGTCTGTTTAAGACTTCGTCGACCACAGCTCTTCTACATAAAATTGCCAAATTTTGCCCAGATGCAGAACACATCAGTAAAATGGTACAAGACATTGAGGCTCAAGATCCCAGTAAACGTTCATCGTCGAGTAGTGAAAGTTTCAATCGACCACCGATGTTGAAGAAGGGCAGCAGTAGTTCGGTGACCAGTGTTATGAGTGCCAGTTGTTCGACCAATACATTGGCTTCCATGAAGTAAGTAAATAAAGGAAAGACACGATTCCAAAATGTTATCAGTGTATAAAGGACGGATATTCCCCTTTCTGGTTCTGAACAACGATATTCAATCCTCAAATATTAAAAATTTTTCAAAAACAGAATTCCCTTAACAATTTATCACTCTCCAATTCCAGATACCTTTGGATTCGCTTGGCACTCTACGAAAAACGTTTGGTGAAAATTATTGAATACTTGGTAGAAAACGCCAGCTCATATTATGATCGTGACTCCTTAGTGGCTGATTCGGATTATGGCTGCATCTTAAGCTCATTGCTGGTGGGGCCATGTGCATTGGAATTTACAAAATCTAAAACTGCAGATCATTATTGGACAGATCCACATGCTGATGAGTTGGTTCAGAGGCATCGTATTAGCTCTGGTCGACGATCATCATCTGTATCATCAAGGGCACCAATTATCAATTTCAAACGAAGCCTGAATACAAGTACCGATGAAGCTAACACAGGAACATTTAAGTCAATTGCTTCATGTGCGGTGGCCAAAGATTATGTTGAGTCATTGCATCAGAATTCCAGAGCCACATTGTTGTATGGGAAAAATAATGTGCAGGTGTTGCCGGTAGGTTGAGGTGGTTTCGATGTAGCAGGATGAAATGATAATTACATTTTTTTGTATTTTTATAGAAGGATTGCAGTGAACCCATGCTGGGCTATCTGAGTTTGCATCAGCACATCCAAACTTTGACCATTAAATGGACTCCCAATCAGCTCATGAACGGCTATCAAGAGGCGGAGGATGAAGAAGACAAAGAGTCATACTGGGCCTATGCCTTGAATATAAATGTCGATGACATTGTCTATGTCCATTGCCATCAGAATCGTGGTGAAGATAGCGGTGGAACTGTTATATTGGTGAGTCAAGATGGTGTCCAACGACCACCAATAATCTTTCCCGAAGGTGGTCATATGCAACAATTTCTAAGCTGTCTGGAAACCGGTCTATTGCCCCATGGCCAATTGGATCCACCGCTATGGTCTCAACGTGGCATTGGTAAAATATTCCCTTGGCCAAAGAGTGTGCGAAGGCGAATTCTGCCCTCGGTTATGGAGTCCTTTGATGAAACACCCATTGATTATGTTTTTCGTATTGTAAGCAAGAGTAAACATGAAGAGTTTGGTAAGTTCGCAAGAGGTTCACATAAAGATAACTTTTATTGAAATATTTTCCCCTTCCCAGCTGCTGCCCATTCGATTTTGGATTTTGTGCGCAGTGCTCCGCGTAGAGCCCAGTTGAGTAGTTGCTCCACCACTGGCAGCAGTGATTGTTCCAGCAAAAGTCTTTCCATTGATCAGCATCCATTGGAGTCGCCCCTACTGCAGACTCAACAGAATGCCAGCATTGAAATGGTCTGTTCCACAATGCGAAGGCAAATTATATCGCGGGCCTTTTATGGCTGGTTGGCCTATTGTCGGCACCTATCCACGGTGCGGACACATTTGTCGGGTTTGGTTAATGGTCGAATAACCCCAGAAAGTAAGTCAACTCCTTTCCGAATATTTTGAAATTCGACATAATAGTTTTCCCCTACTCCCTTCCCAGTGAAAGCCGATGAAGAAGGTCTAACCGTGGAAAAATGGAACGCCTTAAATGAAAATGGTGTGGCAAAAAATGCCAATGAAGTCTTCCGTTTAGTATATTTTGGTGGTGTAGCACCGCAGCTGCGTAAGGAGGTGTGGCCCTATCTGCTGGGGCACTATACCTTTGGTTCCACCCTGGAGGAACGTCAGAAGCAAGATGAAACATGTAAACATTACTATGAGACCACAATGAGTGAATGGCTGGCTGTGGATGCCATTGTCCAGCAGAGGGAAAAAGAAAAAACCGCTCGCGCCGTGGCCAAACTCAGCTCCGGCAGTAACAGCGGTCAAGATAAAACTGTGCGGGCGGTGGAAATCGAAATTGGGGATTTAGAAAATGAGGTATTTGAAGATATGTCCGATTTATCTGATCCTGGTGATCTCGAATTTGATGATGAACAAAAAACCCCAGCCCATACCTCCTCTTTCACAAGTCATCTGATGGTCAAACCAATACCAAGAGCCATGAAAACCAGCACCGACTCGGGGCATGTTGATGAAATTGCCGACGATTCAGTATTTGATGATCAGCTAATAGCACAATTATCCCATCAGAACTCGCAAGACACACCCAAGGAACGTCAAGAATCTGCCTCAAACTCTTCGTCATCCTACGATACCGTTGGTAATGGTTATCAAGGTATAAAATCCACACAATCTGCTCAATTTTTACCATCTGATGATATGGAACCTAAGTCTGTACTAAGTCCCGAGTACCTGAGTGCTGATGATTTTCAAGAACAGTTGCGCGATGATCGTGACCAAATGGGTAGTGGTAAATTGGAGGAGCACGAAAACAAAACATCGGTAATTGTAACAAATGCCTCTGTGGATGTGGTCAATTGGGATCCAAGTCCGCAGAAAAGTACGCGACCCATGTCGCCATTGGAGGAACAAGCGCAAGTGGCGACTACATCATTAGATGCTTTGCAGGAACCCAAGTCAACATGTGTCTCACCGGCCAGTTCAAATGGTGGAGTTTATAGTGTAAGTGGGAGAAATACATTTAGAATGCCCTATGTGTTATGTGTGTGGTCCAAAGAGATTAAAGCAGCACAAAATATTGGTCATCCAGCTCAATTGTTCTACTGAATGTGTGTCCGTTCGTTTCTAGCTTCATTTTTGAACAGAAGTATATTTAGTTAACATTTCGGGTTTTCAGAGGGTTCCCTATAGATTCTATAGATATTCAAACGTATATACTAAGACATTTTAGGGTAGACATTTAGGGAACGGGTTTAGATCCCAAGTATCTTCAGAAAAAATCTGCTCAAGGCAATTTGGGTTGGATTTAAGAAGAATATCTTCCAATACTTCTGGTACCTCCCCGAAAAAAATTGTCCACATTTTGAAAATTTGTGAATCCCATATCAAGCAGATGATGTGTCTGAACTTCGAACACTCCTTTTTGTACCAGTTAAAGTTTTTAGCAGCATTTGGCAAATTACCTGAAAATGTTCAGTATAGGTCTATATTTATACCCTTCAACACTCTGTGGTACAGGGTATTATGTCTTTGTGCATATGTTTGTAACAGGCAAAAGGAAACGAGATAGACACATGGTTCTTTTTGAGAATATGCATAGAATCACTTTCTAAGTCGATTTATGCATGTCCGTCCGTCTGTCTGTCCATGTTAAATTGTGAACAAAGTACAGGTCGCATTTATTATTCGAATTGGATGAAATTTGGCATAGGTCACTTATTTGGCCAATGGACGAACCCTATTGAAATTGGAAAAAATAGGTTCAGATTTAAATATACCTCCCATATATATTTTCGTCCGATTTAATGTAAACGGTCTCTATATATCTTTCGATTTGCACGAAATTTGGTACAGCGTAATGAAATAGGTCTAGAATGATGAGTTTCAAGTTTCGTGAAAATTGGTTCTGATTTGGATATAGCTCCCATATATATTTTCGTCCGATTTAAGGTAAATGGGGTACCAAAGTCCCTATATATCTTTCGATTTGCACGAAATTTGGCACAGCGTAATGAATTAGGTCTAGAATGATGTGTGTTAAGTTTCGTGAAAATCGGTTCAGATTTGGATATAGCTCCCTTATATATTTTCGTCATATTTATGGTAAAGTCTCTTTATATACTTCGATTTACACGAAATGTGTATTAAATTTTGTGAAAATCGATTCAGATTTAGATATAGCTCCCATATATATTTTCGTCCGATTTTAGGTGAATAGTGCACCAGAGTCCAATACTATATATCCTTAGATTCGCACGAAATTTGGCATAGCGTACTGATTTAAGTCTAGGATGATGTGTGTTATATATATTATTATATTATATGCTTCGATTTGCACAAAATTTGGCTTAGCGTACTAAATTGGGTCTAGAATGATGAGTGGTGAGTTTCGGGTAAATCGGTCGAGATTACGATATAGCTCCCATATATATTTTCGTCCGATTTATGTAAATGATGCACCAACGTCCCTATACATCCGTTGATTTTCACGAAATTTGGTACATCGTACTGAATTAAGTCTAAAACGATGTGTGCTGAATTTCGTGGAAATCGGTTCAGATTTAGATATAGCTCCCATATATATTTTCGTCCGATTTTATGTAATTGGTGCACCAATGTCCCTATATATCTTTCGATTTGCACGAATTTTGGTATAGGGTACTGAATTAAGTATAGAATGATGTTGCTAAGCTTCGTGAAAAGATCCATAGCTAGGCCGATTGACACAACGTACTGATTTAATATAAATTAGTTTCTGGCAAGTTTCCCTGAAATCGGTTCAGATATACATATATAACAAAAACGCGACGTCTGTTAGGATACATATGTAGAATATACCCAAAGTTGTGAAGGGTATTTTATAGTCGGCCCAGTCCGACTTTACTACTTTCCTTACTGGTTTTAATTAGATCTAGTTCGACGTTAAGACGTTGATTTAAATACTTAAAAAAATATTCATTCGTAAAATGAGCCCAAACGTCATTTTGAGTCATTCGCAAGCCAATTTTTGCGCACCCTGGTTTAACATTATTTACCAACCGAACTACCCGCAATTCGGCATTCCAAATTTTCTGAGGGTGGTAAACATCTGCTGAAAATCTTCAGTATTGGTTTATAGAGTATTTATAGTATAGGGTACATAAAGTGGAGTTTACATGGTGGCTTTCCCTAACATAATGACGTTTTAACATGATCGGTGTTCCTTTAACAGATTAAAATCCACACATTTTTAGAATAAAATAAAAATTTTACTATTTTACTTTCAGAGTGAACTGTTGGAACAATTTGGCCTGAATTTGCATCGTATTGAAAAGGATGTACAGCGTTGTGATCGAAATTATCCTTATTTTGCCAATGAAAATTTGGACAAGCTGAGAAATGTTATATCCACGTAAGTTTGACTTTATTTTTCGAAAAAAATATATATTTCCGCAAATAAAGGTTCCAAATAAAATACAACTCATTTAAGAAGAGAGTCAAGATAGAGAAACAATGTCCTACAATCTCCAAACCATCGGGACATTTTTTATACAGAAAAATGCACAACTATTACCTTTTTTATTTCATTCCAGCTATGTTTGGGAACACCTCGACATTGGCTATATGCAAGGTATGTGTGATTTGGTCGCCCCACTCCTAGTCATCTTCGATGATGAATCGCTAACGTACAGCTGCTTCTGCAAACTAATGGAACGTATGATTGATAATTTCCCCAATGGCGGTGCCATGGATATGCATTTTGCCAATATGAGGTTAAAGAGAGTTTGAAAAGAAGTTTGTGTGAGAGTACGTAATTCTGTTATTCTCTTTTCTTACTCCCTTATAGATCACTGATTCAGATACTCGATTCGGAAATGTACGATCTAATGGATTCGAATGGTGATTATACACATTTCTATTTTTGTTATCGTTGGTTTTTGTTGGATTTCAAGCGGGAACTGGTCTATGATGATGTCTTCTCGACGTGGGAGGTAATATGGGCGGCGAAACATGTAGCCTCTGGGCATTTTGTATTATTTTTGGCATTGGCATTGCTGGAAACATATCGAGATATTATATTGTCGAATAGTATGGATTTTACCGATGTCATTAAGTTTTTTAATGGTAAGTGGAATCACATAGCAATGTTAAATATATTATTGATTTTTATTTTCCTTTTCTTCTTCTTAGAAATGGCTGAGCGACATAATGCAGCGGCAATTTTACAACTGGCTCGAAGTTTGGTTTTACAATTACAAATGATTATAGAAAATAAGTAAAGTAATAAAGTAATTTTATCAAAATATAACATTTAATAACATAGCCCCCTCTCCCCTAGATTGTTATTATATTTTGTTTATTTTGGAAGAATAGTCCCCCCAAGTTTGAAATCAAATATCTTCCGTTAGTTTAGTGTAGTTCTAGTGATACTAATGTCTCAATATTTTGAACATAATTCCCTCTGATATATAAAACATTACAAGAATTGTTAAAATCAAGTACCCTGCAAAATCTGAAACCTACAATCATTTTTGTTAGTAGCATTAGTAGTAAGATGCCCCCAAAAAAGAATAAAGGTACAATTTATAAGAAATAGAAATAACAAACTAAAAAAAGTTATTACAGAATTATATATTTACACTAAGAGAGAGAGAGAGAAACATACATACAACAATTTACAAAAATTAATATATTAAAATACACACTTATATACACACATACTAAATTGTAAAAAAAATAATTTTTATTTAACCTAATATACACTATGGAACAATATGGGAGGTAAACAAATTATGTTTGGCGATGAAAATCCTGGATTGTATAAAAATTACGAACATAAAATTTTCGACATGGTCTTCCACATCAAGAAATTGATATTTGTGTATTTTTCCGCTTTTACCTTGTTCAGAAAGCATTATGCAGGGCTAATGTATATTTTTCCGACCTTTAACATTTCCATTTGAAAGTTGGACATGTAAAAACGCAGTTAACCCTACGGTCAATAACAAAAAATTATACGTAGATCAATAACCGTGGTACATTTTTTGTTTTAAATTAGTCTATACGGATCCGATATAGATCTAGGAACTCAAAATTAAATATACATTAAAATAATATATATTTAAATCCATGCTTAAATGATAATCTATCTAAAATAATCATAGTAAATTCTTTATAGCTTTCGAATGGGTTAAGCTTTTATAGTTATTTTTTTATTGGGATGACATGAACATGAACATAAAAAAACCAGTAAGGAATGTAGTAAAGTCAGACTGGGCCGACTATATGATACCCTTCACCACATGGGTATATTGCACATATGTATCCTTACAATTGTATGTCAATGTTTCCTTCGAAGGAACATACTCGTGTCCTTCGGCAACCTATGAAAAATTTAATTTAATTCGGGCAGACTTATAGTCGTCTGCGTACAATGGGACAAATTTATGGAAAATGATATAAAGCAAAATTGATAGACGCTATTCGGTACGCCGCACTGTTAAAAACTTCATCTCAATTATACACAGTTCAAAATACATATGGAAGCTATGGCTGGATCTGCACCAATTTCAACAAAACCCAATAACGTCATTCATGTCTCTATTTGATACGTTGTGCAAAATTTCGTGTTAATCGGACAAAGATTGGGAGTTTGGTGCACCATTTATGTAAAATCGGACGAAATATATATAGGCCTATACCTAAATCTGAACCAATTTTCACTAACCATAGCACACATCATTCTAGACTCAATTCAGGACGCTGTGCCAAATTTCGTGCAAATCGTAAATAATTAAGGGACTTTGGTGCTCCATTTACCTTAAATCGGACGAAAATATATATGGGAGCTATATCTAAATCTGATCCGATTTTTCGTTTCTTTTGCCTGTTACAAACATATGCACAAAAACATAATACCCTGTACCACAGTGGGGAGAAGGGTATAATAACGGTTAACTTTTGTGTGTGGAATATATACAGAAATATGCCAACCGCTGGCTATGGTTGGGAAACCATTAAAATACGGGTCATACAATTTGGAGTCGATTTACAAAAGTCCCTCCATCCCTATGTCTGCCTAGTGCGCACAATGTGTTTCGACGGACGAACTTAAAGTCATTATACCCTACACAACTATATTGTCAGTGTATTATAGCTTTGTGTAACCCCAAGAGTTTGTAACGCCGCGAAATATTGGCCTTAGAACCACCCTTGAGTATACCTTTGTCGATTTAAGTATATCTCGACTATGTGAGTCGATCTAGACATGTGTGTTCGTCCGTCCGTAAACACGCCACAGTTATGGACGAATCGTCACGAAATTTTGAATGGAGGATGGATTCTGTTTTTGGTAACCATCCATTAGTATTTACGGTATGAAATGAACCAAAAACGTTATTCTTGTCTGTGATTCTAGGCACTGTAGAGGCCACAATTATGACCCGAACACTACGAAATTTTACACATAGAGAAGGATCTGGCCATAAAATAAGCATCGCTGTGTTGGTGAAGATCGATCAATATTAAGCGGGTTAAATTGACCCAGATTTTTGTGTGAAAAGTGACAAAATTTGTATTCTGGGGCGTATATATTTACTCCTGAAGGACATAGACCCGAGAAGGACTGGTTGACCTTTAAATTGATACAATTATATGGCTGTGTGTACTCGGATGTCGGATGTCTTTGTGCATATGTTTGTAACAGGCAAAAGGAAACGAGATAGACCCATGGTTCCTTTTGAGAATATGCATAGAACCACTTTCTAAGTCGATTTATGCAAATCCGTCCGTCCAAAGTTCAGGTCGCATATATGATCCAAATTGGATGAAATTTGGCACAGCTCATTTTTTTGGCCCAAGGACGAACCCTATTGAAATTGGAAAAAATCGGTTCAGATTTAGATATATCTCCCATATATTGTTTCGTCCGATTTTAGGTAAATTGTGCATCAAAGTCCCTATATATATTTCGATTTGCACGAATTTTGGCATAGCGTACTGAATTAAGTCTAGAACGATGTGTGTTAAATTTCGAAGAAATCGCTTCAGATTTAGATATAGCTCCCATATATATTTTAGTCCGATTTAATGTAAATTGTGCACCAAAGTCCCTATATATCATCGATTCGCACGAAAGTTGGCATAACTTACTGAATTAGGCCTAGAACGATGTGTGTTAAATTTTGTGAAAATCGGTTCAGATTTAGATATAGCTCCCGTATATTTTTTCGTCCGATTTAAGGTAAATGGTGCGCTAAAGTCCCTTAATATCTTTCGTTCGATTTCCTGTCAATGTTCTTTCGAAAAGGCGACGTCTGTTAGGAATATATACCCAAAGTGGTGAAGGGTATCATATAGTCGGTCCAGTCCGACTTTACTATTTTCCTTACTTGTTTCATATGCTACTACGGGCTTAGAGTTTTATGGAACACGGTTGGAAAAAGTGTCCAAAATTCCCATTAAAGAGTACCTTTATATGGGGTCTACCCTGAAACATGGGTCAATGTTAATAATTTTGGTACGTAGCTGTGCTATACCATGAGAACACAAAATGCCTAATTACAGACAAGTCGGTTTGAGAACTTGTCTAAAATCCCTAAAATACCGAATATTGGGAGTATAGTTTTATGGGCGCTACACCAAAATATTGACCGATATATGCCATTTGCAATATCAAACATCCAATGAATACTAACAAAAATTCAGAGCTCTATCTTAATAAGACGGACAAACAGACGCCTATTCCCTTAAAAAAGTCTGCCGGCGCCACCACCGGTTGACACTTTTTGACTTGTATCGAATTTCGTAATCGGTAACCTAACAGCTAAAATTTATTATTGAAATTCACGTCATAGTCGACAGGAAATAACTAGTATAGACTTTGAATCTATATATCCGCTGTATGATGTTTCCGTACCAGTAAGACTATGACTTCGACGAAGTTTCGAGAATATTGCTTCAGGAGTGGAAACCTAGATAATGCTGTTCTTTTTTGGTGGCTCTGTGTCAATTATGGTCGTCCATAGTGAGTCTATTGTGTATATCACCACATAATGGGAAGCATTAATTTGTATTAAATACTTTCTTAGCACAAACAATTGCTCAATTTAAGAAAAATCTATTATTTTAATAATTAGAGAAGAATTCCTACAGATATACAAAATACACACAAACAAAACATGGCAGCTTTCATATCAAGGACAAATGAAAGAATTTATTTTAATACAAAACAAAATCGAATATAAAAAAATAAATAAAAAATAAAAAAAACAACAACAAAGCACTTAATTAAATTCTCAAATTAAAACAAAAGTATATATGAATTTAAAACGATATATCAAACCGAACCGAACTTTACAATTTACACAAAATGATAATTCTTATTTTCGATAGTCCCAAAGTAGTATTTTCGAATTCGATTAAAACAAAATTAAATAATATGAAATATACAAAAATTACGATATCAAATCATAATCAAAAACATAGAAGAGCTAGTTTTGAATTTGCTCTTATAAATACACAAAGAACTACATACATATGTGTCTGGAACAATCGTTTTATCTCGAACTAACAAATATACCACAATGATATCACAGTTTTTTGTTTTTACTAAAGAACACTGTAACAATTTTGAAAAGAAACAAAAATAATTCCTTAAGAGACTGTTATATTTTTCCCTATTTTAATAAACTAAAAAGAAATAATAAACAAATTTATTATCGTTATAAGAGGAAAATGAAAAAACAACCTGAAATTATATGAAAACTACATAACAATAAACAACTGACAACAACAAAATAAATATTTGAAAACCAAAAATAAAAATTAAATAAATAAATATTATTGTGTCCTCCTGTACCTTATGTGGAACAACAACTACATACATATAAGCATGCATGTATTTTGAAGACAACAATATCACAACAACAATAATAATGAGACAGTGAAGCCTTTTTATAGACCTTGCCGAAATGTTACGAAACAATTAAAGAATGTTATCCAGTGTTGTAATGAAAGAATAATATATATACAAATACTATATTTAAACTATGTAGTTGAAAAGCGTCATTTATCTCATCGCATATATAGAACTCCAAACGTATTTATAAACATTATATAACTATACAAACTATATTTCCTATTTACATGTAATTTCTTATTTTATTATTTTCTATTATTATTATTATATATTGACTATATTATTTTTAATTTATATTAAAATCTATAAATATAATAAATTAGTTTATTTATGTGAAAAATGTAACTATATAGAGAGAAA